ATATATATATATATATATATATATATATATATATATATATAATCATAAAATCTTCAGGAAATTATTTCAACATTGATACTGAGATTCGTAAAAAAAATATTCTATAAATATTACGCATATTAAAATTTTGAGAAATGGTGTCAGTAAATGTTAATTGTACAGGGAAATTGATTAAATCATTAATTTATGCCCTCAACTCTCAAAGTATTAACATTGATGGATGAAACAATAGTTTAATAAAAATCTGCACTTTTTTTACATACCTACGCGCACGTGGTGCACCAACAGCTCTAGACGGATGTGGTATCCGCCTAACGTGTCTACCTGCTGAAGGATCATCTAAAAAGGAGATCAAATCCCTTGGTCCACTTCGATGTTCTAACGTCAAGTGACCAGCAAAATCATCAGTTACATGGTTCGGATCTCCACCTGGTACTGCTGCACATACTGGACATACCTATAACAAAAGCACAATAGTTGTTATATAACATTGTATGGACAAATATTGTAATAATTATAAAGATAGATACGTAAAATTATTCATCTCTTTTTATACATACAACTTCAAACGAGGTGTCCGGATGATCAGCAGCGACATGTTCTTGTAATGTAGCTTCGGTGAAACCCATTCTTGTACAGTATGGGCAAGTCAGAGATTGAGGTTGTTCCACACTCACTCCTTCGCCACCATAGTATAATTCTATTTAAAAAATCAGTCATTAAAAATTATTAGAAAATAATTAATTGCACCTATTTAATTTATAATTATTTATAATTATCATATTATTATCATATTATTATCATATTATCATATTATTTAAATAAATTGGATAATATATTTTTTCTTTATGGATATCTATAGCTCTTGATATGTCCAAAAAAGATATTTCAACAACTGATCGCATCTTTAAAACTTAATTTGACAAAATTTGTTACTTTTTAGATGCTTATATCTGTTAATATATTGTACTGAAACTAATATTAATTGTTTAATATCATTACTTAAAGTATGTAATGATATCTTAAGATATTCTATAAAATTCACTATCATCTTCAATGAGAGAAATGGCTGCCATATTATAATTTTCATAGTAAGTGCCTTACCAAAGTCAGATCTGGTAAGTATGCACTGCATAGGGTGATCTGTGAGGTGGCGTGTAGTACTGGCGCCTCCCTCGTAGCAGCTGGCACATAGATCATAATCGTAGCATACCAGACATTTGTATCTACGACCTTCAAAATTTCCCTTCAAGCAGGAATCGCAGCTTACTCCTGAAATAAATACATTAAAATCAATACAAATATATACTTTTGATAGTAGAATATAATATTACAAATTCTATGATTTTTAAATATTGCTCTTTTACATTATTATCGCTCTAATTTTACATTATGTATTAATCATTAAAAACAATCCTTCTTGTATTGTAGCTTTGTTAATATATTTAATATATTTTATATTTTTTATGTTAATATATTTAATATATTTAATATATTTGTTAATATATTTTAAGTTACATTTTAAATAGTGTAAAGAAAACCAAACAGAATATTAATAAAACTTTTTGAACAGTGCAAAATTATTAAAAAATGTTAGCAATAAATTAATACACAGAACATTGAATTCTCTTTAATTGTAAATATTTAAATAAAATAAATTCTTCTGTATTTAATATGTTGTGTATTAATTACATTACATGAAGTACAAACTAGAGAAAATGCTCATAACTTGTTAATAGGAAATTACTACATTAGAAGCCAGATGACTATAAAACTATAAATAGCAGCATGCAGCAAAACGAGTCATAGTCTTGCAACAATGGAAAGGAAACTTCAAGGAAACAATATATGTTATACTTAAATAACAGATGTGGAGGTAACTGCTTAAGATTAATAAAAATATAAAAGAAATATCTATTTTTTTTCTTAATATGTTTACATGTAATTAAATGATCAATTTTCATTTTATTTATTAGAAACTATCTGCAATATCTATAATATACAACATATTCAATTTATGATTAAATATTGTATATAAAGATAACACATGCTATATCTAATATATGCTAGAATTTTTGAGTAAACTATGCTCAATCTGTTGTTTCTATATCATACATAAGAATGACAATTACATAACAAATATAGCATGTATTGTGCTCAAGGTATACAAATTTTTGATACTATGCCTGAAGCACAGATTTCCTTATATTGTAAAAGCATGTAAGATATCAGCCCACTAATCTCAATCTCAAAGACTATACAACTGCGACATGACTCGTACAGCAACATTATTTTGATGACACACATTAATGTTGTAGTCTCAAGAGGACAACGTAGAAGAAATTTATACAAAAGCATAGAGATTGCTGTACAAGTCTTTGTTGAATTGTTTGCACAAATATTCTCGCGCAAGAAAGCTGCAGTAACAATGGAAAAAGCTTTCAATATGTTCTGCCAAGGAAGAGTCATCATAAAAAGCAGGTGAAGACCGAGTACTAGGGGATGGTTCTAGGAGAGGAGTCAGCTGGGAAAACGTCCTTGACAGCTGATCAGATGTGCTGATCAGCGATCAGACAGCGGTTCCGGGGTGGCGAGGATGCGAGAGCGCACGATTCCCCGAGTAAATCGTCGTGCGGAACGTCGCAAATCCGCAGAAAGTGGCATGAATTTTCGTGCCGTGCTGCCATCTGGCCTCTGACATTAGGTCCCCTCGGCTACAGAGACTCGCGGGATGTCCCGTATTAAAGGGATCTACCTACGACCCGATTCGTACCGCGGCCACCGCGACGAGTCCGCACGGACTCCTGGTGGCACGCTCTCGCATGCCCAAAGAGCCCTACAGGCCCTCGCACTGTCCCGCGGTGACGACCCGGCATAATTTTCCGCGACTGTCGATCACCGCAGTACCGTCGACTCCGCTGCCGATCAGGCGCAGCACACGTACGTACGTACCTTCATGTCGACTCATTTTCCGTTTAAAATCTCATATACGCCGATGCAGCGCGGACCACTCGCGATCGTACGGTCTGCTCGAGTGCGACTGCTGGCCGTCAATCACCTGCGTGAACTGCTCGCGTCGCTCAGTACGACGTGCACGACGGCGAAAACATTAATCGTCAAACAAAAAATTTGTCGTTAGAATTTCCAGCGTAAAACCTAACCCAACTAGGCTGACGACGTGACGTCACGCTAGACGACCTACCTACGCTCCCGGTGAACGTTGGTGAACGTTGTTGCGTGTTCCCCGTTGTAATCTGCCCGTCGCGGCACCACCGCGACGTTGCCACGAATCGACGCCACCAGGCGCGGGAGATACGAATCTATGCGATAGCGTCCCGAAGATAAACTCGTCGTCAATTACGTAGAATTCGAAGTCGTCAATTACGAAGTATTCGCCCATATCAACAAATAATAACATTGTGATCCTGCCAAATTCTAATTTGGATGTAACAAAACCACTTCCTCGGTTTTGCAATATATTTTCAAAATACAACTTACAAAAATTTGCGTGAAAATGATCGTAAATGTGTGTGTACTCGTGATACATCATTTGCAAAAAATATAACAGATATAAAGTTTAAATTAATCTAAAGAAATTAGCAACAAGATAATAGTAGAAATAAATAGAAAAATTAAAAAATAAGGTAAATGTCCTAATATCCTGAACTAATGAGAAAACAGAATTTGTTTTACGTTTTTATTAATTAATAATTAATGGAATTATTAACATTTATGTAAAACCTTGGTTTGTCAGCGGTCGAAAAATAATAGAAAATAAAATAACAATAAATTATAATATTAATTCGAGATATTAGATAATATTGGTATTAATAATTAAACTGAAAAATGAATCATGTCCTAATTAACGAATAATACAGACTCAATGATTGAATACTAATTAAATAATATTACAAATCGGCATAAAGAAATATCCTTTAATTTCAAAAGCTTTCTTTTTTTTAGAAATATTAAAATATGTTAATAAATATATTATTAATGTTTTAATCATTGTGGGATATTATTTAATAACTAGGATATTTATCTTAATATATTGAGAAAATATTTTAAAATTTATTTGTAGGGGATATATAATTTATTCATACAAAAGTAAACTTTATATTCCACAAATAAATTTTCAAATATTTTTCTCAGTCTACAAAAGCAAAATAATTTTGGAATGGATCTATAAACATATCTAATTTCAGATATATTTATCTTACTATTTATTTAGTTTGTGTTGCACACAAATAAAAATATGTGAACAACTATCATCAATAAATTCCAACGCGATTAGCAAGATTCTTGCATTATTCTTAGACACAATTTTCAAATATTCCCATTCTGTATGAAGCTCCATCTAGTGGAAGACTCCGATGCAATAAAATGATCGAATAGCAATCTACGAATATATAGTTCGTGACAAGATCTGGCAATCTAGCACTCCTTTCACGAAATCTTCCGAAAGCCACTCCGTACGCGTTCGTATCGTTCCGTTGATGGTCGCGAAATCCCGGATCAGATCCACGAAATCGCATCATTTATCGAACAATGGCCACGGTACTCGGACGTGTGATTGTGTACGGGGGCAAGGGTGCCCTTGGCTCGACTTGCGTATCTCAATTTAAATCACAAAATTGGGTGAGTAACGGAACTCGCGAGTGTCGTTACCCTCTCTCTACATCCAATAAAATACGAACGCGCGACTTTTATCGACCCGCGCGAACCTTATCAATATATTGCATAAAATTCGATTACAAAATTGTCACCTTATGTTATTCAAGATATTTCAAGATATTTCATCAAATAGCGTAATATGCTTAACGCAGATACAATGAAAATGAAAATGTCAGACAATGTAAAATAATAAATAATGAACATTAAATAATATAAGAGATAAAAATGTAATTGATTATTGATTATTGATAACTTATCCAATATTGTTAAATTGCATAAACAGCGTTTATTTATTAAAATATACTATTATTATCTGATATAAATTTATTAAAAAATTATATTTATTTAAACAATAATATACTTATATCTTAGTATAATTATAGGGTTGAAGCAACTTATAATTCTGAATACAAATGACTATGTAAGATATTTTCTTGTTGGATAAGTAGATAATCTGAAGGACATTGCATAAGATTATGTACCAAGGTTGCTGCTAGCAGTCAAGCAAGACTGCTTTCACATCAATTTTTTTTCTGAAGCTGTGCATCTATACTGAATGTGTAGCTATATTGAATGTACTTCAGATAAATTATATATTTCATACTAAAAGACCTAAATATTTATATATTTATCTCTTAAATCAAATTCTAATTTATAATATTTCTGAGTTTTATTATTTTATTAATGTTCATAAGTTACTTATACATTTTTCATCCATATATATATATATATATATATATATAT